AAAAATAAATAAAGCAATAATTAACATATTTGTGAGAATTTTTTTATTAATTATTCTGACATAACTATTGCATATAACGCTTTTTTTGACTTCTACTTTACCAAATCTTTTAGATTTAGTAATTTGTTTTGAGAACAAATAAAAAAAGCTTTTAAACATTCTCAGTCCCTCAAACCTTTTTTTAATTTAACAGTTAAATGTATAGTATGTATTATTTTTAACTTTGTTAAACAAGGTTGTTTGGCCTGCTATTCCTTTTTTTAAGAATTTCTCTTTAAAATGTTTTTTTCAAATAACGGATGAGTTGATAAGCATATAATCTTTCTTACTTACTTACTTTATCAATTTAGTTTGCAAGTCTTTATTGATTGAAATAAACAAAAATAACACTATATCATTTTTTTAGTACTATGAGTACAACAAACAATGCAATACTTGTTAAGCTTTGTTGTTAGTATTAGTACTTTTAATTTATTTTTTTGTAATCTTCATTACTAGCTTTCTAATATCAGGTAATACCAGTAACCAAAGAGGGCGTCGTCCCGGACTCTAAAAAAAAGTCTTTTGGGTTGTTAAAGAAAATAACATGGAGCAGATATAAAAAGGCCTTTTTAAGTATAAATGGTATCATTTTTATTATAATTAGTCAACTATTTTATTACTTTGAGTTTTATCCCCTTTTTGTTGTTGTTCAAGTGCCCTAAGAAGTCCTTATGGTCTTATCGCAGAAATGTCCATAAGGACTTTTTGGGGTTATCTACGAGCTACGTTTGCTACACCGCTGGTTAATAAAATTAAAAAGATATTTTTCAATAAAGTTAAAAAGAAATTTTTTTTTTATAAAAAAGTACTAGTTTATTGGCAATTCTTGCACATATTGTTTACCAAATTAGAACGGCAAGATCCACCTAAGATCCGATTGTCACAGGATTTGTAACGCATCCTTAATTATTGTTAAGCTGCAGTTTCATCTCCAAAGAAAACATCACAAGCTTGACATTTTTTTGAATTCAAAGAACCATCAGATTTACAGTGCTGATATATGGAATTCGCTTCGGATTCTGACATAACCGGAGTTTCGATAACTCGCACTAGTTGTCGTTTCCGCTTTTTAATAGTAGGTTTGTTAAACAAAACAGCTTCCTTTGCCAAACGTTTTTGAGTCTTAATTCAATTAGCCTCCTGTTGTTGTTTTTTTTAGCAAAACTTTTCTAGCTTGTATTTTGTTCTTCTTATTTAGTGCCATTGTTTGCTTATTTGTAAGTTCTATCAAAGCTTCTTCAGAAGTCATAGTGTAACTTTTCATAAGACGCATGTTATTATTAGAAACATTTAACTTTGACTCTGATACGGAAGCTTTGGGCAGGCCAACATTAAAAGCAGTTAAAATTGATGTCTTTAAATGCTCACAAGCAGTTGTGCAGCATGTTAAAGGAGGTATTTGTTTTAATGAGCTCGAAGATGTTTGTGTCCTTAAAGTTTTTGTATACTTGAAGGAGTTTCTGGAAGTGAGGTGACTGGTATAAGCAGTGTTGGTAAGGCTTGAGTACTTTGCGCAAAAATCGATTCATTAGCTAACTTTTCGTTAGTCATTTTTTCCCGACACAAAGGAAAAATACCTGTTACTTTGAAGCCCAAATGCATATTGTCGCTCAAGAAGCTTTGGTCAATAAGCTGTTTGAGCAACCCAGGATATCTAGGTTTTGTAAAAAAGAACCGTTTTGAATGAAATGTTTGTTTAGGATTCCGCGCCATTTACTTTTCACCGTCCTAAATACGCATACATCAAGTGGCTGTAGCACGTGAGATGTATTAGCCGGTAGCTTAAAAATAACAATGTTCTCCTCTTTTGCTTAGTGAACTAGCTCCAGCGTTACATATGAGGCATGGCTATCTAGAAATAGGACTTTGGATCCTTCAAGCTTGCGATAATGTGGGACAAATGCTTTTTCAAACCACCCAGCAAACGCAGGTTCTTCCATCCAGCCAGATTGTGTGACACCATAGGTAGCACTGTTAGGCCCGTCCTGAGTTAGAAGCCATTTGGATATCAATCTAAAATTTCAAATAATTAAATAGTAGTTTTTAAAATGCAGAGTTTTCCGGATTATTAAATCCTTCTTAAAATACATACCCAAATTCATCATAAATATCCTTGGCTTTTGAATAAATCATGAACAGGCAAGATTGTTCCAAAAGCATTATATCAAACGAGTATTGTGACTGAAGCCTTTTCGTTGCTATTGCAAAGTTTCTTAGGTCCTTTTGAACCTTTCCGACACACAACCTTAAATTTGCCTTGATCACATTGAACGGCTAAGTTGCGAACCCATGTATATTGTACATATCAGACACTTATGCAAACCTTGATTTGAGAAATTAAGTTCTCGCTATAAATTGAGTAGTTTATAAAAAAAGGACAATTTGTAAACATTACAATCAAATTGAAATTTACCTTTTAAATATTGCACTTTTTTTTTTTTTTAAATAACAATTAATTATGAAATATATTTACATATAACTTATAATTTTAATAAATACCATAGATCAATAGTGCCTGGCTGAGTCGATATTGCACGGTTTGACGGTATATTATTTGATGTTCTGAGCGATAGCTCTTCACAATGACGTCTAATAAATGAGTAATACCAGGCAAGTGTAACTTTGCCGCCGTAAAAACACATTTGATTTGAATTAACCAAATAGTTGTGAACAACACACAGTATTTCAGGTCTAGTCAAACTAAAACCAATATCACTCATAAATATTAAAATTTTTACTAAAATGCTCTCGATGTTTTCGCTCAACTTAGTTGGTTTGCAATTTTTTTTAGTCTGTTTGCCGTTACTTCAGTCGATGAAAGATGATCTTTTAGAGCCAAATGTTATAGCTGAAAACAGCTACAACATTTGGCTCATACCTTTATCCACAGCCTTCAAACCACGAGCCATCCGAGCTTTCTCACGTTAATCCATAGATGACATAGATGTATTAACTTGACAAAAAGCTATTTCAATGCGTTGCAACATTAATTATTGTTTTGTAAATACTTCATATTCAAGGATTTAAGTTTACCAGTATTTTTTGAAATCAAAATTTACTTGCAAATTGACCAGTAAATTTTACAACAGGGTAATTTTAAAATCATAAACAAATTCTTTATATAAATATAAAATATCTTTATAATTATTCAAATAAAATACAATCCCAGTGGGCACAGACGTTAAAAATACGTCTTTTAAACGTTTTATACACGTTTTAGACGTCTTTTGAACGTTCAAAAGACGTCTTTTTTTTGGTCCGGTACCCACTGGGATGGTAAGTATCCATTATAAAAATGTCAAAACTTACTGGTAAATTTACAGTTAAAGTTACCTATAAATTTACGCAATTGCAACACAAGTTCATATTCACTAAGTCACAATTTTAACATGCCAACATTTTACAACATTTGTGCTAATTGTTTCCTTCTTTGTTTTACCATGAATGACCCAAGTGTTTCAAAATTTCACTATTTTTATCAAAAAAAGTAGTTAGTTTTTAAAAATTATTAATTTTTTGATTGTAAATATAATTAACTTGGTGATTCTTAATAATGCTGAGATTAAATATGATTATTTATTTTAATAGTTTGCTTATTTTAGATTTTAATAGTATGCATTTTTTTAAATTGTTGTTTTGCTAAATAATTATTTCAGTAGGTTGCATATAAATATTATTATTTATTTTATAGATTCATATTTACGAACTAATTACAAATATTATTTGAGAAAAAAAAAGTTTGTAAAGTTTGAGTTTTGCATGCTTTTTTTATATTTTTTCTTAAATGACCGAAGTTACATGGTGACCGAACTTAGGCGATTTACGGTAAGTCGCTTGTATCTTTGTTTAACAAAAAAAACTTTATTTAATCGAAGATCTATATTGATCAACGATCTTAACAAGTTTATAACTTTTTCTTTTTATGTATTATGTATATATGTGTTATATATAATATATACACATATATACATAATACATAAAAAGAAAAAGTAATAAACAGGTGCAAGCAGCCAGGGTTGCCAAGCAACCCTGCAAGCAGCTTGATTTTCAGCTCAAAATCAAGCTGCTTGCAGGGTTGCCTGGCAACCCTGTCTGCTTGCACCTGTTTTCTAATCTGTTTTTTTGCTTCGTTTCTAAAAGATACATAATCACGTGTATATAGTATAAAATATTTCATTATAAATATCATTATCAGGGCCGGTCTTAATCCGATTTGACCGATTGCTCCAAATAGGGCCCCGCGCTTGGTAGGGGCCCCGCAATTTATAGCATATCATTATAAATGGCAGTAATTTTTTTTTATAAATTTCTATCAATCTTACAGTTAACGTTGAACGTTTAATGCGCATGGTAACGTCTATTGTTATTTTTAGTTTATCTTAGTTATTGCGGTATATGGTATAAAATATATTAGTTTCCAATCTACTTTCGAAAGTTCCAGAAGTACTTATTTCCGAAAATTCACAAGGCAAGCAATGAACATGGCGGCAGCTTTTATATTGTTAAAGATTAAGCTGTATTTACTTTTGAAATGTTTGTAATATATTTTTTGTTTGTTTATGCTATAATTATTTTTCATTTTGTTTACTATTAGTTTTATTTACTTTTGTTTAACGCAAACTTTTCTCGCTTTTCAGTAAATATTTTATATTTAAGACAATATAAATTTTATTGGATAATTTTAAGAGTACTTTTTTTCAAGTCTAATAAATAATCTTAATATTAAATGTTTGTTTATTTATATTAAGATATTTGCAGTAATCAGTTGCTTACATTTGTTAATTTTACTTTTAATTTTGTAAGGGGGATTTTTTATTTATTTCAGTTTAATTAAACTATTTTATTTTATTGTGCAATTTAGTAGTAAAAAAAGAGATAAGTTTTTAGTTTTGAAAAACACAAGCCAAAATATGAGTAAAAGACAAAGGGACGTCGGTAGAAAATATCTAAGTTGTAACATGAAGAGAACCTTAGCTAAGGTAAAGAAAACTGAAGCAGAAAAAGAAAAAGGTGCGTTAGATAAATATTTGAGTAAATCAGTAGATCTGTTTGAAACTGAAAAATCAGACAAACAAGTCGAGTCAGACGACAGTGAAACAAATATTTCTAAAGAAATTACATCAGAAGCTAGTAGTAGTTTTCTTTCTGGATGTAATGCTCAACAAAATACATCTGAATTATGTATAAATATATCTGTTAACACGCACAAGGATAATGAGAATATTTCAGAATCAAGAGAAGAAAATTCAAACCCAGCACTATGTGATATTTTAAAGATAAAAGATGACCCTGCTACATGGCCAAATAAAATAAATCAAAATGTCAGAGATTATTTAGTGAACGAAGGACCCCCTAAGATCACTGTAGAAAATTTTCCGCAAAATGAAAAAGGGTTACATTTTTCGAAATTTCACTGTAAAAGAAAATTAAAAAATGGGGAAGTTATAGAACGACCATGGCTAATATGAATCATCTGATAAAGTTTACTGTTACTATTGCAAACTTTTTGACACAAATTCTGATTCTGCACTTGCTACTTCTGGATTTGACAGCTGGTCAAATATTCATACAAGATATGAGGATCATGAAAAATCAAAAAAACATTTGCAATGTACACTTAATTGCTATGAACTGCAGCAAAGGTTATCTACTGGATTAACTGTTGATACATTAAATGAAAAATTAATAAGACAGGAAACAAAACGCTGGAATCAAGTCTTTGAGCGACTTGTTGCTTCTGTACAGTTTTTGGCAGAAAGGAACTTGGCATTTCGTGGGTCTGAAGAACAAATTGGAAATCCACATAATGGCAATTTTCTAGGCGTCATTGAATTGCTAGGAAAATTTGATCCAGTTATGCAAGATCATATACAGAAAATTATTAACAAAGACATTCATGATCATTATTTAGGCAAGACCATACAAGATGAAGTTATTGATACTATAGGCCAAGCTGTTCTACAGGAAATTATTGCTAGAATTAAGTCGGCAAAGTATTTTGCAGTGATTCTTGACTGCACTCCTGATATCAGTCATCAGGAACAGATGTCAATGGTGCTAAGATATGTCGCTGATAGCACACACTCAGATGTCCCAGCAGGAATTTATGAACATTTTATAAAGTTTATTATAGTCGAGAGCAGCACTGGTGAAAATTTATTTAACACTCTTGTGAAAGAAATTGAAATGCTAGGACTAGATGTTGAAAACATCAAAGGACAAGGGTATAACAATAGAGCTAATATGAAAGGGCACAATTCTGGAGTGCAAGCACGACTTTTGGAAAGAAATTCACGAGCTTTCTATACTCCTTGTGTGTGCCATAATTATAATCTTATTCTAGGAGATATGGCTAAAACGTGTTCAGATGCCATAACATTTTTTGGAACCCTGCAGCGTATTTACACCCTTTTTGCTTTATCTACAAAAAGATGGACTGTTTTTAAAAAGCATGTGAAAGGCCTGTCTGTTAAACCATTGTCAGAAACAAGATGGGAATGTAGAATGGAAAGTGTTAAAGCTGTACGATTTCAAGCCGCAGAAGTGTGTAATGCTTTAGAAGAACTAGCAAAAAGCACAAATGATGCTCAAGGGAAAAGTGAGGCTGAATCATTAGTAAGCCAAATGACAAATTATAGGTTTCTGGTTGCACTATGTTTTTGGCACTCTTTATTGTTTCAAGTAAATTTTACTAGCAAGGAACTTCAAAGCAATACCATAGACATTGCCGCGGGGCTGACATCTTTTGAAAAATTGTTTGATTGGTTGAAGAAATACCAAGAGACAGGTTTTGTAGCTGCATTGATTGATGCCAAAGAGCTTGCAAATGAGTTAGAAGTTGAACCCATATTTCAACAGAAGCGCTGTTACAAGAAAAAGAAAATGTTTCTTTATGAATCTTCTGACGAACCAATTTTAGACCCCAAGACAGAACTCCGGGTAAATTTTTTCAATCAAGTTGTAGACAAAGCATTGCAATCTCTTCAACCACGGTTTATGCAGCTGAAAGAACACCATAAACTTTTTGGATTTCTATATAATTTTCAGAATATGTCTAAAGAAGAACTCAGAAAACATTAAGCCGACCTAGAAATTGCTTTGACAGACATTACAAAAGATATAGAAGGGTTCATGCTTTCCGAAGAAATGGAGGCAATTAAGCCAATACTGCCCGTTCAACAACAAAAACCCAAAGAACTCTTTAAATATTTGGCTTGTAATGATAGGTCGACTGCATTTCCAAATTTGTTCATAGCCCTAAAAATACTGATGACAATTCCAGTTACAGTCGCTTCCGGTGAAAGAAGTTTTTCAAAACTAAAATTAATTAAAACCTACCTTAGGTCAGTAATTAACCAAGAACGACTAAACAATTTGGCACTAATATCAATTGAATCTCCTATAAGTAGAGAAATTAATTATGAAAAAATTCTAAAAGATCTCGCAAGCAAAAAAGCAAGAAAGATCCACTTTGACTTATAGATTATTTGTTTATTATGACAATAACAAGAAGTGTTTAGTTTAAATTCATTGTAATATTTTTATTATTGTTTATTGATTCGTTTGTGGAGTTATGTTTTTTTGTATAATAAATGTGTTTCAATAATTTTATTAATAGTAGTTATTGTAAAAAAAAAATCAGGTGGGCCCCGCAAGCATTCGTTAAATTGGGCCCCGCAATTCGTAAGGCCGGCCCTGATCATTATTATTATTAATAAAAAAGTTTAGAAAAATAATATATTTTATAAAGAATATTTAGGCTTTGAGTTTATAATACCTAAATATAATTTTTATATGAGGTCATGAGAAAAAAAGTGGTGTAAGCAACATATCAAAACAATGGAGAAAATAGTAAAAATAAAATTCCGTAGTTTTTTAATTGAATTATCTCATTTGTTTTTGAATTTATAGCAGCTTTTTAGTTTTAACCATCTAATGAGACATTACTTTAAGTTTTTTATAGAGTTACGTTACGCGAAAAAACACATTTTGTATATTTGTGGGTTACACCGCTTTTATCAATCTGCAAAATGGCCAAAATTTCTAAACTAGAGCAAGTCATAAAGCAACAACAACTGTAATTAGATGAACTTGTTTAAAATTCTAATAAACAAACTATTAAAACAACCAGAAATATTTAATCCAGTTGGGTTACAGTTGCAAACAAGACCAAAAAAAAATCCGTCGAGCAAATAACCTTAATTAAAGCCTTCTCCATTGAGCAACAACAACAAAAAAAGCAAGAAAAAAATGTATTTATTTATGGTGTTAAAGAGTCTACTAAGTTATTAGATGTAGATAAACAAGTAGACTGGAAAAGGTTTAGAACATATTAACTACTATCGCATCTGATGCAAAACCAAAGTTTGTTAAACGTATTAAATCTATGTCCTCTAACCAAGACCAACTATCGTTGAACTATCAGATGTTTCTGTAAGCGAAATACATCAGCGAAAAATTCCAAAAAATTCAGATGATTACAAAAATGTCTTTATAAGCCCAGATCTGATTGAGGCTGAGCGATATCTACATTTTCAGTTAAGAATGAAGCGTAATGAATTAAATAGTAGTATAAATCTAAAAAATATCGCCCTTTAGATACGGTATACAAAGCAGCGGAATGGTTATGCTTAAAAATCTCCAAACCACTGAGAATCACTACCCTTACTATACTCTCCTACCAATGAAATCAAAATACAAGGGTAAAAACCTACGTAACCTTAAACAAACTACAGCGTTAATTATTACTACACTAATGCAACGTCTTTTAATAATAAAATGAACGATTTAATTGCAATAGCTAGAACGTTTGACTATCATATTATTGCTGTCTTCAAAACATGGTTTCGAAACAACTCAGTTCCTAACATCGATGGGTATAATTTTTATCGCAAAGATCGCCGTGACGGACGTTAAAGTGGCGGTGTAGCTATCTACATTACGGACTTATTTACTTATTTTATTTACTTATTTATATATTTTATTTACAGACTTATTTATATATTTTATTTACGGACTTATTCTCACAAAGTTAATCAGTTTTATACCAACCCTCTTGAATAAGTTTGGGTATCAGTAAAAGTTAATAATAAATGGATACTTATTGGGTGTGTATATAGACCAAATGATGCTAATCTTATAAACGTCGCTGAATCTTTCAAATTAGCTCATAGCTTAATTAGGAAGCCCTATGACGACTGTTTAATCGTTGGTGATTTTGATTTCCCGAATATGAAGTCGTCTAACAATGGTATTAATTCTTTCAATCCAAACAATTCTAACGAGTATGAATTTTGAAAAATTTACCAAAACATCCTCTTTACACAACACATCACATTCCCTACTTTTCAGACAACCTATGGTTTCCCAAAAAATATGTTGGATTTATTATTTACCTAAAACAATGATTCTACTTTAAATTCGTCTCCTAATGCTATACTAGTTAATAACACTAAGAGTCACTTTAGTATTACCTGTAGAATCTTAGTCTTGGAACCGCTACCCGAAAACGAATCTCAACACCCAGAGAGTTGGTATTATCCCAATTCTGGGATAGTACCAACTCTCTGGAAATCAGCAAATATTATTCCGATCTATAAAAAAAAGGAGACAAACTACTTCCTAAAAACTATCGCCCTATTTCACTTACCTTTGTTCCCTGCAAAATATTTGAAAAAGTTATAAAGAATAAAATCTTGAAGCACATCAATGATACCAATCTGCTCTCTGCAAATCAACATCGACCATCACTCGAGTTTCGGAGCCTACGATGCAATCTAATACAAATTTTTAAACTAATACATCGATTTGATATAATTAACAATATATATCAACCAAAATTTATTAACTCATTGTCACGTGGTCACCGTCTTAAAATAAGACGTAAATATGTTCCAAACTGTCTTCCAAGACACAACCAATTATATAATAGATCAGCAAAATACTGGAATGAACTACCCGAGCAAGTAACTTTATACTCCACTGTACTTTCTTTTAAAATTAGATTAGATCACTGGTTGAGGATAAAGTTCGGAACAAATATTTAAAAAACTGGTTGTTTAAAGTAGGGTGTTTTTCCTGCTCGCTGTATCTATATATGGTATGTATATTTTACGGCTACAACTATAATAATAATAATAAAAGTTTTATAAAATTTTTTTGTTTTTTTGTTTTTCGCTTTAAATATTTAATAAAGACCTAACTGTATTGCCACGGAGTACATCAGAAAAGTATTAAACTAGGAAGTTCAAACATCATTCCTTACCGATAGTGCGAAATAACCTCGAGCTTGCTTCGAACCCTGGTCTCTTGCTTCTAAAGCAAGCGCTATAACCACTGCGCTGCGGTTGCTGTATAATCATTTTTTATAAACTAAATTTTTTTATAAAATAAATTTTTTATAAAGTTTTTCTTGTAATTAACCATAATTCAAAATATGACATAGAACAAGTGAAGCCAAGTAAATTTTAATTTATTTAAAAAATATATGCTTTCAAAAAACAATTTGCGTCAAAATAAAAAATCTAAAAATTAAGTAATAATGAAAATTTAAGTTATGGAATCTTTACTACACATAATGTTTTTGGAACGGACAAAAGAATAAACTAATATTTTTGACAATATTTAACCTAATATTTTTAAGAATCTTTTTCCTTTATAAAGGAATATAAAAATATTAGGTTAAATATTTACTTATTTTTTAGTAGACTTTGTGCCTAAAAAAGACTTTAGGAATATTAACTCTGTAAGACAAATTTATTTCCAAATTTTTTTTTTTTTTTTTTTTTACCGAACTCATGTTGCCACGGCCGAGTGGGCCACTTTATTCGAGGAAGCTGCTGCTTTTATTGGTTACAACCCGCTCTCAACTCTTTAATTCCGAAACACTTTTTGGAGTTGAATAGTTAAAAGAGGGTTGTAACCAATAGAAACAGGTTGATATATATAAAACATATAATATATTTTATAATTCGCCTTCTTTATAAATTCAAAAAAACTTTATAGCTTTTGAATTCAACTAAAAGTTAAATGAAATTTTGAAATTGATACCGAATTTAACTGAAAGCCAAACTTTTATTTCAACTTCGGCACCGAAGTCGAAGCCGAAATCAACTTCGCCTTTCAGAAAACTTCGTAATCCAAATTTTAACGAATATTCGCCGGTCCTAATAACGGAAGCTACTTTGGATTAGTCTTAATGACTGTTTGTAGCTGTTGCTATGCTAAGTCAATAATATCTTCGGATATAAGAACATTGTTTAGAAAAATATAGCATGAAAATTCAAACAAATAAAAAAAATAAAAAATAAAAAATTACATCGTGGGTTTCTCTATTGCAGACATTATTAATGAAATTACTAATCTAAATTATTAAAAATCTTTTTGACCTGACGGCGTGCACCCTTTAATACTTAAAATATGTGTCAAAAGCTTCGCAATTCCGCTTACAAAAATCTTCTATAAATCTTTTAATTCTGGAATAGTACCAACTCTCTGGAAATTATTAAATAATAGTCCAGTCTATAAAAAAACGAGTCAAACTACTTCCAGAAAACTATCTAACCTCGGTTGCGTGCAAAATCTTTGAAAAAGTTGTCATGAATAAAATTTTGAAACACATCAACGGTAACAATCTGCTCTCAACAAATCAACATGACTTCCTTCATCATAAATCTTGCGTAATCAACCTGATAGAGACTTTTGATAGATGCAATCTACCTCGACTTTGCTAAAGCTTTTGATTCCGTACCTCACAACAGACATATATTAAAATTAAAATCATTCGGAATAAACGACAAACTACTACGGTAGATTAATTCCTTTTTAGTATGTAGAAAGTAACGCGTTACAATACTAGCTCTGTTTAGGTTGATGTTCTCAGTGGTGTTTCTCAAGGTTCTCTTCACAAGGTTCTCTTCACAAACGATCTTGCCCAACTTTCTGAAACTTTTGAAACATTTGCCGACGATACAAAACTTTTTTCTAAAACTTTATTGCAAACTAATTTTGTTGATCTGCAGGACCGTCTACGCTCAGTACACGAGTGGTCAAACATTGGGTTACTTAAATTAAACATTTCGAAATGCAGTGTTATCCATTATGGTAAAATCAATCCTACGTACAGTTAGCTTTTGCAAAATAACCAAGGTATAAATGAAAGCCTAAGAAGCTCTATAAAGAGCCTGATTTAGGAGTCATTTTTACATCTAACCTCAAGTGGAGCACGCATATACAATCAGTTGTCTCCAAATCTCTACAAACTCTTGGTATGCTAAAAAGGACATTCACCATCATTGATAAAAATGGCTCTCAAATTATATAAAGTGTTTATAAAACCACACTTTAATTATGCAGTGTCTGCTTGGGTCCCTTATTTAAAAAATGACGTAGCTTTGGTTGAATCTATTCAACGTGAAGCTACAAAATGGGTTTCATGCTTGAGACATATTCAATACTACGAAAGATTAAAAAGACTTAATCTACCATTACTTGAGCTTCGGCTATGATGTGATCTTATCCAAATCTTTAAACTAATACATCGATTTGACATATATGATATATATCAACCAAAATTTATAAACTCCTTGTCACGTGGTCACAATCTTGTAATAAAGCGTGAATATGTTCCAAACTGTCTTCTAAGACACAACCAAAGATATAAAAGATCAGCAAAATACTGGAACGAACTACCCGAGCAAGTAACTTTATACTCCATTGTACTTTCTTTTAAATTTGGACAAGATCACTGGTTGGGAATAAAATTTGGAACGAATATTTACAAAACTGGTTGATTATAGTAGCGTGTTTTCCTTGTTCGCTCTATGTATATATTATATGTATTGTATGTATATTTTACGGCTGCAACTATAATAATAATAAGTCAATTTTCTTATTCTATTCTATCGATAAAATGCAACTTTTTTATTACATGATTGTTAAAATATACATTAGAAATGATTGTTAAAATATACATTAGAAATGTCTTTATAAGTGATAAAATATATCCATTAAATTTGTTCAATTACTTATAAAATGTGTTAGATGTGTTCGTTGATTTTTCTGGTTTACAAACATTTACGTTAGTAGATTCCAGTCTTCCTAATATATAATTTCTCTTAAGATTTTTAGACCCTAAAAAAAAACCATTTTAGTAAACATTAATTGTATCAAAATGGCTGGCCACGTTGCTTTTTTATTCCTTATTATATTTTTTGATGCGATATTGGCTGATGAAGGAAGACATAGTCGATTTGAATATAAGCTGAGTTTTAAAGGGCCTCATATAGCTACAAAACAAGGAGCTGTTCCATTTTGGACGCATTATGGAA